TTTTGTTGGCGGTATCCTTTAATATCGGCCTCTTGGCACAGGTATGTCACATGGGGAGAGCAGCACAGGCCAGTGCACCAAGTGCTCCAGCTCTTTTGTTTTCAGCCCCCTGCCAGCAGAGCTGGGGAAGTACCCAACCAAATTCCTGGACTTACTCTACTGCATTAACGGGTCAAATGACATAACAGCATCTAACACACAGGTTTGCCAGCTCTGGTCACAGCGTAAACAGGAATTAGAGGAGCACATGCACAAGTCAAACAAAACTAACCTGGAAATATTAAACACACCTTCATCTTGGATTTACTTATGCTGGTTACAGCTAAAAGCCAGTTAGCCGAGGGTCTACGGTGACACAGAAAACCTTCAGGGTTCAGAAAACACGCAGCAGCCCCAGGCTGGAGCTACACATCCTAAAGGCTGCAGGGTTGAAGCCAAGTGGATTTTTGCAGCCATTTTTATACTTCATTCTCCCTCCCCCAAGAATGGGTTCTTTGCTCACGCATTCTTCACAGCATGACTCTCCTGCCTCACTCAGCTGGAAGGTCAGGCATTCTCTGCCTCTGCACCCTCTTGATTTCCCACGGGACTGGAACTGGAGGACGAGCACATGGCTGCTCTACATGTCACATGGTGAGGAGCAGAGTTCTGCAGAGTCATGCCCCTCCCACCTGGGACTTGTATGCACCTTGGCAATGCCCAGTCCCTGAGTCCTCGCAGCAACAAGGGTCTTTCTAGACTAGGAACATGACCTGGTTAAGGACCACTGTTGTCTTCCGTGGCCAGTCCTCAACCAGTGGTTGAAGATGTTCAGGTACAAGGCCAAGTGAGACCCACATTTGAAAGTGGATAATACACCACCACCATAAACATGAGATTCGTTGTACCTGCTAATGCCCTTCTTAAAGGACAATAATCACCCAGCAGCCTGATCTAAGTACTGTAAGAAACTGTCAGTCTGAAGAAGGGTTAAAAAAAAAAATAAAAAACTTTAAATTTTGGATGTGGGGGAGAGGGGGAAAAAAAGATCTGTGAATTTTCAGCAAATGCTATTTCCCAATTTTCAACAGGGCCTGATGGGCAATAGACCCTTTCCCCTCTAGGTCACTATGTGATGGCTGATGTGACATGAACTAGGGATTTCAGTCCAGGGAACATGGACCAGTGCCTCACATCACATCTGACCTGTCCAAGAGGCCAAGGATTAAATAATCCACTGGGAGCTGCATGTCCCTCACACATCTTGGTGCTTAGCTCTCCAGGGATGGGCCCTTATAGAATACTATCAGTCAAAGATGGGGTCCCTACAGGTCAGAGTAGGGCACACTGGCAGGGCTGCATGGAGGAAATCTTGTGCTGCTGCCGATGCTGTTCCTGTTTTGGGTATTAACAAGACTGTGGTCTACCAGTCAGCTAACCCAGCCCTTTTCAACAGTGCAACATTGATAACTTACTAAACGTAGTTAAAAATACCAGACCTGGGTGCCGTGGCACTTCTCGAGAGACCCTGTAGTATCTATAGAACAGCTCCTTCCACAGGAACTCATCCCGGGCCACCGCATGCCATTGCCGACACACCAACCCCACCGAGAGCACATCTACGTGGTCCAGGTACAGGAAAATCTCATAGAGGATGCTGTCTGGGAGAAGGGGACTATCCCCAACATCCATACTGTCATTCTGTCACCAAAGGGCTCTGAAAATAAACACAGAGGGGAAGTTGGTGCCTGCTCATCACAGAAGGTAGAAACTTCCCAGTTTGGGGCATGAAGAATAGCAAGGTTCTCCTGTCTGAGCAAACTTATTCGGAGTCATAGGGAAGGAACAGCAGCTTTTTACAGGCAGCAGCAAACAAACACGTAGGGAAAGTGAGATTTCTAAAATTCACATTACCAATCACTGGTGTTTGTACCATAACATTTGGTGGTGTGCTGTGTAGTTTTTTTATTCCCTCTAACTTTATCCTTAATGATTTTCTTCTATTTTTTTGTCCCCAAACAGAAACGGCTTCTTAATGAATTTTCTACTTTTATTTTTTAATGTAGCAACTCTTTAAAGCTTCATAGTACCAAGACAGACACTAACATTTCCTATGAAATTGTTCACAGGTGGCAGATCAGCCATTACAAACAGAGGCCTCAGTACTACAAATGCTCACATCCGGGCCTAGCTTTATTCATGCACATACAGTGACCCCCGACACAGGCTGTCAGCAGCGTTTGGTCCTGGGACTTTCAGCACAAAAGCAGAGCTTCTAGTACTTCAGCTAAAGAACAAGATCTATTAGCTGGGGGCAGTAGGCGGCAGCTACACTCTGCGTGGGCCAACCCCGGGGGGCGGTGGGAATGCAGGGTACTTTACAAACTTTTATGTAGTGTAGTTGTAGCCGTGTTGGCCCAGAATATTAGCGAGACAAAGTGGGTGAAGTAATATCTTTTACTGGACCAACTTCTGTTGGTGAGAGAGACCATAAGAGCAGCTCTGTGTGGCTCCAAAGCTTCTCTCTCTCACCAATACAAATTGGACCAATAAGAGCGATTACTCACCCACTTTGTCACTTTACAACCTTGTTATATATCTTGCTCAGGGAAGGGTAAAGGTCTATATTTTGGGTTTCAACCCCAGCTATGGGCCCAAGGCAGAGACTATTATAGAACTGGCACCTAAACAGACCTGAACTCTAGGACAGCTCAGACACTCATGAGAGGCTAACCCTGCTGGGGAGTAATATAGAACACATTTGTAAAGTGGGCTGTCTGTCTCGCTCTGGGAGTGGTCCAGAGAAGAGGCACAGCCTACTGCTGCTGACAATTAACGGTCCAAGTCCTTTAACTTAGGAGGTAGACATCTAAGCTTTGGTGCTGAAGGTTCCAGGTTCAAACAGTGCTTATAGCCCATGGTGGACTGTGACTTCAATGGGGGTACTCACATGTAGCCAGAATTTGCTGCTGCTGCTTCTTCACATTTAGGGCCTGATCCTGCTTCCACTGAATTCACTGGGAGAAGGATTTAGTCCTGAGTCTTTTTCAATTATCTGCATTAACACCACACTACCCTTTAATAACAGTGTACGTGACTATAGCACCTTTCATCTTGGGATCCCAAAGACCTTTATGAACATTCATTAATTCTCACCCCACTCCTGAGAGACAGGTATTATTATAATGTCAATTTTACAGTTGGAGAAACTGAGGCACACAGCAGTGACTTGGCTAATGCCATACAATAAATTAGTAGCAAAACTATTCTCCTGCTACAGCCACTTGACAATGTTCCCTCTTTGCTCTTTCATCTTAATGGACTAGAGCTGGATTTCAAAGACAATAATATGGACTGTAGAAGGCTGCAGCCAATTGAGAACTATTTGTAATCTGGAGCAACAGGTTAAACAGCATATGTACCTTTGACTCACAGTTAGCAACAACCCCTCAGAAGCTTGGAATTGCGGTAGTTCTTAGCAAAACCTCATCTTCTCCTGTGCATGTAACCAGGAGAGCACTGGCTGCAGGTAGAAAGAGGGACATGATAAGATAATGACCCCACATGCAGACTGCATGGCCTTGGCGCAAGATGCAAGGAGCCCCAGAGACCATCTTTCCACTAGGGAATTGTATAAAGGTGTTTCCATCAGCTCAGCAGGTTTAATTAAGATAGCGATGAAAATGCCCCCCGCTGCCAGAACCTTGTCTACAGTAGAGCTCCCACTGGCCCCAACACTGGCACAGTGGCCAAGTGGGAATATGTCCGAGCATTCCCCACTCCAGAGAAGTGGTCTAGGGTGGTCAGATGCTGAGCTCCCATTGCTACTGGGGTCCCTTTAACCGGACACAGCCTCTCCCATTTCCAGCCTGCATGGTGATAACTCCACCGATCCCCTCCCCTGCTGCTTGCAGCCAGCTCCTGGCTCTGCCAGCTGCTCGACACACACCGGACTGGCACGTAGGGTGCGCGTGGCCTCGACGCGCTGCCATGTCTGGCAGCTCCATACCAGAGGCCAGTCTGCCCCCCCCCCCGGGTGCCACCACCTGGCGAGGGGCCCCTGGCACCCCCACTTCAGCTGCCCCTCCCCCATCCAGCCTCTCGGGCGGAGGAGACCCCGCCCCCAAATAAGGAGCCCCCTCATCTCAGGCGCCCCCCAACGAGGCGCCCCTCCCCCCCTTAGCCAGATCTCCCACCTCAGCTCCACTGCTGCCCGGCCC